TCAAATGAACTCATAAGTTCACCTCCTTTACTTACCGGCTCAGGAGAATGACAAACCGACAGGCATTTTGTCACACGCACCTACGACAAATCGCAAGCAATTTGTCACCTTACGAAAACACACTTAGGCACAGAAAATCCCACTCCATTCATTCGACTTTAAAGTTTACTTTACAAAGTACAATTCACGTAGTTAAGTACACAATTAAAATGGCGGATTTGGTATAGGAACATTGTTTATTGGAGCAAATATAGAGAGAGGAAAACTCGGTCTTTTGATGCTTTTGAAGGTATTTTGTCGAAGAATTTACGTGAGGTACAAGTAACTGAGGTTTTTGTTTATTTTCCCATTGTTTGGACGGTAATTTCTGATTGGTTTCGTTGCGAGATCAAGATGAGAAAGAAATGAATACAAAAAAGTTTTCGACAATCGTGACTGTCTCGTATCATAAAGTAAATGGTTACTTTGTAGCCCTGTTATGTACGTAATTTGTTTTAAACGTAATAATTATGTGATTCCAGTCTTGTTTTTTAATATTGTATTCACCGTGAAATCTAGGTATTTCATTTTCCTTCGTCCTGAAGTAAAATGGTTATCTTGATAATACAATAGTTTTACAAAGAATAACATAACATAACATCACGCCTTTTATCCCCGAAGGGATAGGCAGAGGTGTACATTACGGCACTAAATGAACTCATAAATTCACCTCCTTTACTTACCGGCTTAGAGGTATTCCATTTTTTTTACTAATTTTCTTAAATAATTATTTTTCTATCCAACACACAACATACAGTTTATTTTTATTTTCTTTATTATTTGTCTATTCGACCTACCATCCGTGAGTCACTGTGGGATGCCACCAGAAAACCAGCGTTGAGTGTTACCACGCTCTACATAATGCTGAGGTGGAGACCCGTTCGACATGGGCATGCAAGATATTTTTGCTAATTTTGTGATGTTTATTTTTTGTTTTATTTTGTTTTTATTTATATATTACTAGCTTCTGCCCGCGACTTCGTACGCGCAATCTTGAAAAATTTTAGGGTTGGTCTACCCCTAACATTTAGGGGGATTCAAAATAGATGTTGGCCGATTCTCATAGATACCGGATAAGCACAAACAATTTCATCAAAATCGCTCAAGCCGTTTCGGAGGAGTATGGCAACGAAAACTGTGACAGCATTTTATATATTAGATTTTTTCATTTTTGTCTACATCTCTGTGCGTGCAATGTGCCGAATAAATGTTTTTCTTTCTTTATTAATTTCGAAGAGCTGAACCTCAGGCGAACCTTAAACTTGAGATGTTATAGTGATATGTATAGGCATTATATAAACAGTACTTTATCGATATGATTCCTACACCTACATAAACATAAAACTCCTCCAAGACCTAAAATATAATAATAATTCTAAATCACTCATAATTCACATCAATTTAAGATTCAATATCGCTAAATTCTGCTAAAGCTCAGGTTTCCAATTTGAAAAAATGCTTTAAGGCGTTATAAATTAGGTCTTAAATGCCTATTTGTCAAAATCCCCGGGTTTTGCTGGCTTGATGTTTTATCCCTTTATTCGGAGTGAAAGGGTAAATTGACTTCTTATCCGGTTGGCAGTTGTTTCTCATGTAATTTACTTGTGAACGCTTGAGTTGTCATGTTCGCCTGGTACTCGGAATGTAGATGTGCGCAATTGAACGTGTTTTTAGTAAAGTATTACTGGGTTTTTTTTAATTCTCAGTAGTAGCACGTAGTCTGGAATAGTGCCTGGTATATGGCAATAGGGTCACCCTCTATTACATGGGACTCATAACATAAATAGTAAAAAGTGGGTGTTACATTGTACAATGGCAAAATGTGCACCTCTGCCTACCCCTTCCGGGATAAAAGGTGTGATGTTATGTTATTACATTTATAATGTCATTCAAATATGGCACTCACAGTAAATCGAGATGAAACTACATTTTAAATTCAATCCACAATGAACACTATTTATTCACATATTAAAATCTAATTTCCAATGAATTTTTCGCAATGTTATAAATCATAGTTCATAGAATTTAGTAGGTACTTTGTAAAACAAAGAATTACTAGAGTCGACAATTTATGTATTTTATTTTATTAACATTTGTCGAATTCGCTTCTGTTGAATCAGGCAAATGGAAATAAATGTTGTATAAACATTTTTCTAACGGCTCTGCGGATTTTGTGCTGAATAGAGACAGGTGTTAGCTGAAAATTGAACATGAATTTATTGATGATTTTTATTTTTGAAATTGTTTAATGAAGGAAATAAATTTCCCAACTATGTTTTATTTGAATATTAATACTGTAATATTCGACTGTGTTCATCGGCTAGAAATGAAATTCTTTTTATGTGTTCTTGTATTATTGTCTGCATGTGTGTCGTGGCGTAATAAACAGATTTTCTTTCTTATATGTTTTATATATCGCAACATAACGTCATGTCATTTAATCTCCGAAGTTATCAGCGTAGAGGCACATTGCACATTAATTAATGTTTAGGGAACAGTGAGTAGAGTTACTTTTTTTTTAAGGGAGGAAAATCATCGAGTGACGCCTCACCCAGGCGGGAGGGAGTGTCAGACTCTTACTGACTAAAAACCACCCCGTTCCTTCTCCTGCACGTCGAGTCGGAGCCCCGTTTACCCGTTAGGTTCTCCGCGACATTAATAAATATTTAGGGAACAGTGAGTAAAGTTACTTTTTTTTAAGGGAGATGAATCATCGAATGACTGCTCCCGCCTGGGTGAGGCGGGAGGGAATGTTAGACTCTTACTGACTAAAAACCACCCCGTTCCTTCTCCTGCACGTCGAGTCGGAGCCCCGGTTACCCGTTAGGTTCTAGTAGAGTTCCCTAAGATCGGAAAAGGAGCATCCTCCGACCAGGAGAAATATTGGTGCCTGGCGGGCTTTCTGCCCAACAGTTTTTCGGTGGGATTTTCTATCCGTTTTAATCGCATATAAACTTCACAGTTTATATATGTTTTTTTGATAGATTGTATGTAACTCCGCGTTTTTTAATTGCTTTTTATGTTTATTTATTTTGTTAGATATGTGTATTTAGTTATTAATATCAAATTCAAATTCA